AACCCCCACCCCCCCCCCCCCCCCCCAAAAAAAAAAATACCCCCATTTGAATGTCCACTAGAACTTGCTAGAGGATAACATTTTTCTTAACTCACAAGGTTTACTAGCGTTGTCACTTTGCTAGTTTACAGTGACCATTGGCTTTCAAGATGCATCTTTTCTCTTAACCCTCCAAGCATTGCTAACAAATAGACTGTGGTGTCCAGGAAAGTTATACAGTGGGTGTCGCATTCAACGAGGTTGCCGGGGCCGGCTTGTTGTCCTCGTTGGATCCGATCTCTCATTGAATGTGATTAAGGCTGAAGAAAAGAAAGGAGACAAGTTATTATATTACTCGATGTACCAATACCAGTAATTAGAACAGTTGTTCCCGCTGACGACGAAAATCTCAAACAGCATCAGTGTGCGCGTGTTTGAGCTGTGTTTAGACCGTCATTTCTGCATTTTAAAATATATTTTTTTACGGAACACTTTTCAGGTGGAAACATACCCTCTCACATCTAGGCCTAGACCTACATAAAGTAAAAGGCCAGAGCTTGGATTTCCTGATTGAGGGAAAAAAAATAAATTTAACAATATGAAGGTCTCGATCTAGACCTACCCATCCAGAGTTCATCCAGTTCCACACTGACCGCATCGCGTTCCCACCCCATCTGTACCGTAGGCTAACCCTCGCCCATCCTCTTGGCTTTGGGGCCCATATTATTAGGAGGCACACTAGATCTAGCAATACAGTGTGTTAGAAATCGAGGATGGGCCTTGTGCTTCGTGTGAGATGGAGAGAAAGGAGAAAAACTCTTGGCCTTTGGGGCCGCTAATTGCTTTTATTTGGTTATCGCGACCTCGTTGAAAGCGACTTCTGTCTGTTTGCAACCTTGTTGGAGCTGACGTACATTTACAAAGAGATATAGAGGAAAAATCGGGGATTAAGGATTTCCTTGTTGTAGCTGACTTCTCATTGAATGCGACACCCACTGTATGATTTTACCATATATAGGGAGCCTATATGTATCACGACGCAGTGAAATCAGGTGCCGGTCTAGTTGTGGGCACTCAGAGTTATTGGTATCTTCTTAAAGCTTGCTCATTAACATTTGTTTTGCTTCTTATGAAAACTCCCCCACCCCCCCATCTATTGTGAACAGAAGTCGAGATATTTTGCAATTGAAGGAGATAGGTATCGCCTGGTTTAAGAGGTACAACTTAATGGCCACCAAAGTTTGGTGACTTCCGTAGCTTTAGAGTCTTTGGAAACCGAAAATTTGCATTTAAAAAAATTGATCCTTTAGTCTACGCTTTTCGATAAAATCCACACATAAATGTGTTTTTAAATAGACATAAAAGGTGTAAGCCAAAAAACGAAAATTTGCATGTTTCTTCAATTTCATTATTTTGACAAGCGCCTGATTTTACCATGATGCCTCACATATTATGTTAAAAAAGGATTGAGACTAGGAAAACCTGGCAAGTAAAGGCCACAAACCTGTACATGTACAATTTCACTACTATCACCTCTATTACTGGGACAAAGGATTGTACATGTTCTGTGCAGGTACAGTCCCTTGAATTCTCAGGAGATGACTTTAGATCCTTTATTGTGTTTTGTGATGCTGACTTCTTGGTTCCATTTAAAGTACCTTCATGCCCGTTTTATTGTGCTTGTAGACCTATGCTTGACATTTAGTTAGCTTCATATTTTAATTTCAAAATCAACATGACAACCATTCTTTCTCTCCAGACTGATATGCCCTCCGGGGTATTGCCCACAAAGGCTCCAGCATCAAGTCCTAGTAAAAAGCCACTTGTGAGTTTTGGTTGCACTCATTAACTGTCTACTGTTTAATTATTCATTTATAGTCAAAAAGAGTAAATGATTTTGTTGGAGAATTTAATTTAAAAAAATTGAGTATTTGACTGCCTGTATACCCTATAAGTCCTATCTTTTCATAACCCCCCCCCCCCCCCCTCACACAAACACAGAGTATGTGTAAGCCGATAAAGAATTACCAAAAAGACAAGTAAATGTATAAATATATATATAATTTCCATGCACAGTGAGAATTCCCCACTCATTTTTATTCCATTTATTTTGACCGATACTAGTGATATGAGTCCAAGATTGGACAGATAGTGTTGTCTGTAGATAGACAAAGAGCAAAGAGACATACAATTAAGTAGAGATAGTACAATAAACTAAGTTAGTATTAGAGAGAGAGAGAGGGAGGGAGGGAGGGAGGGAGAGAGAGAGAGAGAGAGAGAGAGAGAGAGAGAGAGAGAGAGAGAGAGAGACAGACAGACAGACAGACAGAGAGAGAGAGAGAGAGAGAGAGAGACAGACAGACAGAGAGAGAGAGAGAGAGAGAGAGTAAATAGACATGGAAAGACATGCTGCACACATACCCTAGAGCATGTAATATTTGCACCAGATCTTATTTCATGTCCATGCTTTAATTGTAATTCATGTTTATTTGTCCCCCCAAGCCTGAGATTCGGAGAGGCAGCAAAACTGGAAACCAGGCACAAGAGCGGGATTACATTTCTTACACTGTTTCTGCTCCCAGTGGACGGGGCACTGCTATGTTTTCTGCTGATGGTAAGCTGTATAAGATTACTTACTCAAAAGTTTGGATTATAAGCTGCAATATTTTTTCTCAGCTTTAACACTTTGTCATCATTAGGCTCATATTGTAAAAACCCATGCCATCACAAGCATTTTAGAGGAAATCCGAAGAAACTGGGTGGTAAACATTGCCGATCGGTGTTTTGTGATGAGAGTGGAAGTTCGGTGTTCTTGCTGATCGGTGAGATGTTGTGGCAAAGTGTTAAACCCTGCTGCTAAAACAGCAACGAGGCTTATTTGCAGATTTTTGCATTTGCTGGAGCATCACTCCTTCATCTATTTTAGCATGCAACTTATAAAGTTGACATGTTTTCCGCAACACTGCTTGATCTGTTCAACTCCAACTCGGAAGACCAGAAGAAGTTTGCCGTGGATTCAGCAGACATGAAGATGATAGTACTGAATGAACGTGATGTATTTAATCTGTATTGTATAATCTGCGGCATATTTGTGAAAAAAATTTCGATTTTTAACAAATCTACTGGCTGCGCTTATATACAGGTGTGCTCAATAGCCTAAACTTAACTGTATAATCTTTCCTATCCTTGTTAAGAATGCAATAGCCATTTATTGAAAAAAATTTGGCTACTTTGAGTGTCATTTTGCTTCATTTCTTCAACTTTCATGATTTACCTTCTCTTAATTCTTGTCCTGCGTCTGTGCTGAGATGGGAATCGTATCTGCAGCCGACTACGTTGAACGTTCCGGGCAGGCTGCCAGGGTCACTCAGTGTGTACTGCTGGTGTACAGTGAGCGGGCCTGGAAACATGCGTTTTCGCCATTAATACCGTGGGAGGGTGTTAATCGATGACGAAAATCACGCTCTTTCTTTTATAATAGCTTTCTATTTATAAAATGTTACGAACACAGGAATAACCCCCTCTCATAAGCTGATAAGACCTTACAAGTAGTTACGCCCGTTCAAATAACCTTTTTAGACGCTCTTGTTGTTATGAATGATCTGGGGTTCGAAAGGGGATAATATAGGTCAATTTCCAAATGTTTTGCTCTCAAATTGTTCTTTTTACCTGCACAATGGTATTCAAAACTATCAAACAAGCTTATTTTTTATCAGGTAGTATCATTTCATACAAAGTCAAACTCATTTGAAAGATTTTTTATTGAAAAATGAAAGTCTTGTTTCCTGACTATCCTTTCGAGCTCCTCATGTCTAAGTGGGTCAATTTATTCTAATTTCATTGGACGAACATCTAGAGCTACAGTAGTCTCCGTCTAAACGCACGCCATACAAAAGCACGCTCCGCTCAAACGCACGCTTTCGTCATCTGACGGTTTTTTTTCTATATAATTTAGACGTACAAACGCACGGTCACTCCCTCTAAACGCACGCTCCGATCCGCGAAACACGCCGACAAGGCTTGGCAAGGGGAAATTTTCACTACAACCTGCACAGACTGCATACGGCAAGCCTAGAATTTACTAGAAAACCGGATATTTGGTGAGAGTGCCCCTCACGCCGGACAAAGCGAGTGATAGACAACGTTTGCACACCCTACTTTCCACTGACGCATAGGTCTCGATCTCGGTCTGGTCGGTTAAATGTTTGGGGGAGGGGGGGGGGGGGGATTGGGGGGACTGAAATGTTTTTTGATTGGTCACTGGAAATGTAATCTTTGAGAGAAGGTTTCAGACTGGTGTTTGAGTGACTGCGTGTAATGTTTAGTTAGATCTAACCTGATGCGCGAAATGCGAAAACGCCGTAAAACACTAGACAGGCCTCTATATGATTAAAGATTAGCCAAGTAAGCCTAATAAGCTGCGCTGAAAGAACTTATTACGTACTTGTTCAACAAATCACAAGAGAAAATGTTTCTCGAGGATGATTCTGCATGAATTTACGGTCGGGGACGGTCGCTTGGAAAGTCACGTGGCTGGTCCGTCGACTCTATGACTATCACCAACCGTTTCCTCATAGTCATAGGCTATCTGTTCCCGATGTTTATGGTGCATATTCATTACTTTGAGTTTGTTCCCCCCCCCCCCCCCCCCATTCAACGCCTTTGTATTTTTAACCCCTGTTGGGGAACCCTTCACAAAACAGTCACGTGTCGTCACCTTATCTGCCTAAATGACCCCCTCCTCCAAGGGAGATTGCTAGAGTAATTAGGAATTGAGATGACTGTGTCCCTTCATCCCTTGCAAAGGTTCATGTAAATGCACGCTCCGTGTAAACACACACTAAGGAGCCCTCCCGAGCACCGTGCGTTTAGGCGGAGACTACTGTACCAACTTTGCATGTTTTGAATGAGACGTATGCCTCGGTTAAGACCAACGCAGGCGGTTCTAGAAATAGGCCACAAACGCGCACAAACTCAAGCAGACTGATGCACACACACTTGAGCCGCGTGAATGCAGGTCCGACGCGGGACCCGAATTGAATGGAGATGATGCTCGGCGCCCGTGCCCTGAGCCAGGGTCCTGACTGACATGGGACCGGAACGAAGGCGAGGTGTCAAAATAGGCTTTTCGAGCGACATAAACCTGGCCCCCGCAGGACGAGGATTAATACAGTATGCACCCACTTTGAATGTATTGCCAAACCCTTTTATACCACTTCCGTTTGAATGAGCATGAAATTGGCCGTATTGTGGGGCAGGCAGTATAACAAGGTCCTCTGCTAAACAGCACTGAGTGCCCATCATCAATGGAACGGATTCTGCAATTACGATACTAGATGAAGGACATTATCATGAGAAGCTTTTACTGCCTTCTGCCAAGCTGCAGAGAAATGGAGGGTGATTTGCTGTTGTGACTTTTAGAAGGCCATGTTTTCAAATATGTTTCCAAATTTCTTACTTTTCCTGACTGGTCAAGCATGCCTGCTTTTCTGCCTTGGTTTGTGTTAAAGACTGGTATAGTTTGTTCACTTTCGTCTGACCACGTAAAAAAAATAATTCTAGCTCATTTTGCTAATTTACCTATGCCCACCTAACTTTGCATTGCACTTCTGCAAACCAGCAACCAAATGAAAAAATATTTTAAAAAAATCTTGATCCAGTAAATAAAAAGTTTTTCTCTTTGGGTCCTATATTAAAAACCACTTTTTGGATGCATACGCAGGATCACTAAAATAAATGACTTACAGTAATGTAGCCTTCAAATTCTTCATTTTGAGACAGCTACACCGCCTTATCCCCACATTTCAGTGTAAAGTTGTAGATTTCATCCCTCAGCTGTTTAGACGTCTCCACATGAGTCTCGAAAATTACTCTCTCCGTCCCTTGAATTGTGTTTCTCAGGCAAAGGTTAAAGAGTTGTGTTGAGGAAAATATGTCAACTTTTCAATGTTAAAGGTGTATGCTGTAAATCCCCTACTATTTATTTTACCCGCTTCAGGCTTACATCAAAGAAAATGTGTCGGAACCTTAGTTTGCTGTGACTTTTATGAATGGACTTTTAGATTCTGTTGGTTGCTTAACTTTTAGACCCGCATGCAAAGACCCAGAAAATTTGTAGGCCTATTTATCCTGTTTTAACCGTGGTCAGACGAAAGTGAACGGGCTATAGAGACAAACTGAGGTAAATTTCATGTCATCTATTTTCTGCAATTGCCATGCATACAGGGAAAGCAGTTATAAACTCCTCACATCTCCAACTGATTGTATTAGTCATGACCATATAAATTCAAATTGAAAAATTACATGAACTACTGACTTGTCAAATGCATGCTGCTTGAAATTTACAAGTACCATACCGGAAGGACAAAAAGTGGGGAGGTGGGATGGGCAGGGAGGGAGGGAATTGACGACCAGCACTAGCTCACAGTCACAAAGTTGTGTGTGAGAGAAAGGAAGATTATCACTGCTTGTGAAGCTGTGGAATGGATACCATACTCCATTTGTTGTGTGAATCTATCTCTGGTGGCCAGTTTACACCGCAGGGCAAATTTACATTAGCTTAGTAGGGTCTGAACATCTCAGGCATGTGGTGAATGGTAATACTTGCATGCATTCCTCTTTATATGCGTTAGCAAAACTTGACGGTAGATGGGGCTGGTGGTATCGTTTTTTTTCTTTTGGGTGTGGGGGATGGGGGAGATTGAGAATGAGATGTATACTGGGTTTCCACTGTATTATAGTCATGTATAGGACTAGATATCTGTGACTTCATATGATTTCCACCTTTTTGCAGAGAATCAAATCATGTCAGACAATGAGCTGGATCTGCTGCCACCCGAAATGGAGCCTTTGCCTGAGCAACCATCCAGGTAAGCACTTCTTCTGAGGTACACAAGATTTTCCCCGTCTTAGTGGTATTCAAAATTCAAATAAAATCAAACTGATTTTGAAAGTTCATTTCTAACTGTGCATGGGGGATTCCTCTTTCTATAAGTAAGGCCGAAGGGCATGGCACAGCGTTCAAGACAACAAGTAAACCTTCTACTAATTAGTCTCTTTTGCAGTGCCATTTGAATTTAATTGGATAATTTTACTTGCATACACTGCCATATAAATGTGATTGCCTAGGAACAGGCCTGCGTGCATATGGTCAGTATTCAGCATTAGATCTACTGAGACACATCAAATGTGGAATCCTGTTATAACGAGAGGGAATAGCAGGATATTTGTTATAAGGGATCCAGTAATATATTGAAGGCAAAAAATAAAGAAGGCCTAATCTATGAGTTTGGTGTTCTGTGTTTTTCTTTTTTTTTTTTATCTCCCCTGATGATGGTTTTGTTCAACATGACTTCTAGTGTCTCGGTCTTACTTAATCAAAAATCAAATCGGGTTTCTTTCTCTTGCGCTAGCGATGTGATGTTGACAATTCGGTGTTGGCGATTAGAAAAAAGGGGCTCTAGCTCTAGGCTGACTCGCCCGCTGTGCTGTCCCCCACCCCACCACACCACACCCAGTTGTGCGTTCTGTCTGCTTGCGCACGTCACACTCACACATTCGCTCCATCCATCACAGCGCTGTGACCTCTCCATCCCCGCATCGGAAAAGTGAGAGGCATGGTACGCCTAGATAATCTACACTGGGCTGGCCTGTCACGTTATGCGTTCTGCTTGTCTGCGCATGCCACTCCCTGCCTACTCATTCGCTTCGGCCTTCATTGTTGGCACAAGTGGGCTCTCCCATTCTTTGTTTCGCTAGATCACCATTTAAGTTTCTCAACTGGCAAGGTTTTACATCTTATAATTGGCCTATGTGCTGTGCACAGCAGCAACAATATTCTGCTATAACCGACTCACCTGTTTGTCTGATAGCGTTATAGCAGTATTTTATTTACAAAGATAAAGAAGGGAAAAAATAGGGTTTTAGAATAGTGTCTTTATAACAGTCTTCTCGTTATTTCAGGACTCGTCATAAGTGGACTCCACTGTAATAGTATTACACTTGTGCTTGTAGATTTCGCATAGTTCACTCCATCCTTCCATAAAAGTATATCATATGCAAACTATGTTGAAATGACATCAACTCATCCATAGTCACTGTCTGACGTGCAGCGGTTAGTCTGCTTCACTGTCGCATGCAGGAGACCCAAGGTTGATAATGGAGTAGGGAGAATTTTTAACGAATATCTCTGTCTTTTTGCTGGGCTGGAGGCTTGCCTCCTAAATTATGATTATTATGTAACTTGTGTTCATGGGAGGCATCAAGATACCTACATTGTTTAAAAATCCATACTTATTCGACTGAAAGAACTACACTGGCTGCCAATAAAAGAAAGGATTAAATACAAAACTGCCGTTCTCTGTTTTAAATGTATAAATGATAGTGCACCTTTTTATCTTAAAACATTCCTGGAATTATATAATCCACCTAGAGCCCTTAGATCAGCCTCTGACAATCTAATTCTTAAAACTCTAAAACAAAATTACAAAACATACGGCGAGTGTTCCTTTTTGTTCTTTGGTCCCCAGGTATGGAACGAACTCCCATATAAAATAAGATCTGCCCCAACAATTTCCATTTTCAAAAATCAGCTGAAGCATTTTTTATTCAGAAAAAAGCATACCTGTCATAATGATGTACTGTGATATATATGCATGTGTATGCCAGACTATGAGACTGAAGAAATAGCGAGTGAGAATGAGAGAGAGAAAAGAGAGAGAGAGAGAGATAGAACGGAAATGTTTTTCTATCTGTATAGAATTAATGTTTTAATGAATGTTTCTAGTTACTCACGTTTCAACTTTATTTTGACTGTTCGTGAATTTTTATTCCATTGTATATTTTTAGTGAACACATTTTCAACCTCACTACGAGACTGTTTTTCTGGTATAAAATTTTACACATATGCATTTATATTATATTTATAATACTTTGTTTTACGTACACATTTGTATCGATTAATTTTTAAGATGTGATGTCTTTTTCATTGTAATGCGCATTGAGCATCTTTTAGGAAATGGAAATGCGCAGTATAAATGCTATTTATTATTATTTATTAATTTCCTTACCTTATCCATCAGGAAGTTGACATGCTATTTCAAAAGTACTGAGTAGACTGGGAAATATATTTGTCACATCACAACTCTGTGAAATCAGGCGATCGTCAATTTTTTGACATATGAAGTTATTAGAATCACCTTAACAGTTGTTCATTTGCTTTGCTTTCGGTGAACAAAATATCAATTTTTCTTGAATAGAAGTCGAGATATTTACAATTGAAGGAGATGATGTCGCCTGGTTTCAGAAGTAAAATTAGTGAGAAAATGGCCGCCAAAGTTTGGTGACTTCCATACCTGAGTCCTTGGAAACCGCAAATTTACTTTTTTTGTGCCTTTAATCAGTTTTTTCCCACAAAATTCTCACTTTAAAAAAAAAGTGTTTTTGAATGGACATACAAGGTGTTGAGCCAAAAAACAAAAATAAGAAAAAAATTTCCAGACTGGCTGAAAAATGCTTAAATTTCTCTGATTTCACTATTTTGACGAGCACCCGATTTCACCAGAATGCCTCACATTTTTTTTTTTTTTTTTTTTTTCAGAAAAGGAAAAGATTGTGGTGATCAAAGTCGACCTTCAACTCAGCCCCATGTGGTCGTCCTGCCTACTGTTGAGGCCAAATGAACTTTGATACGAGCAGTAGAACTGTTCTGTGTAAATTGCATCCCCTATTCTTTGATAATTTTTATGAATCAACTTCTCTGCTGAATGACAAAATTTTTTTTTACAAATAATAAGTCCACAGAAAGTACACTATGTGGAATTTTTTTTTTTTTCTGTCAAATTTTAATGCCCAGTGAGACCACATTGGTCATTTGAAGGTGGGATTGGCACCGTGGGATTTACAGGATCTGTTGTGATGAGCCAGACCTTCTGATGACAAATGGACATGGATGAGAAAATAACAAAGTGAACTTATATATGCAGAAAAGACACCAGGACCGATGTTGACTACAGAGAAGCTTGTGGCGTAGGACTTCCATTCCACTAGCACAGTTGTGCCCTCTGTTGGTGTGATAACGGACTTTTTATCTCCCCTGGCCAGCCAGGGGTCTTCATGTGAACTGATTTTGAGTGATATATTAAACATTGACTGTTTCATGTCTTTCGTTTGACTAATTATTGTCACTCTCGGAATCTAAACTTTAGACCTTTTTATTCTTTACATATGTTTGTCTCCCTACCTCTCCCTCTCTGTGTAGTGTGTGATAGTGAGGCCTCATAATTGTGTTTTGCTTGCATGAATGTGGTCAGATCCAATATCATCCTACAATGCTATGTATTCCATGTGTGTATTCTGAACATGCATGCTTAGAGACAGGTTTTGAAAGAAAGGTATTCAAGGTTATGTACACTATGTGCAGTGAACGAGCAGTAATTGATTCGGAAGTCAATGAAACCTGGCACTCACTACATAAGAAATAATATTTCAGACTTTTTTTCCTCCTTTCAAGTCATTAAAAAAACAGAATATCAATGACAGTGAATTCAAAAGCGCAATAAGACCCAATGAAACAATTAATCTTGAAACTCATCCTGATTCACTGAAGTTTCTCTAAATAATACATCTGAGTCTGAGGGATAATGTTCAAGCTCTTAACAGACACTTACAAAAGCTGTGAGTGCAAATCTTTTGTGAAGTTTTTTTTATCGAGTAACTCCATCTGCCTGCCTAGACACTGTATCTCTCTAAGCCTGAGTTGACCCTGACAGGTTGGGTTGAAGCAGCCCACCTTCTAAATAAAAAAATGCAAAATTAAGTCAATGTGGGCATAAAATGTTTACAATTATATCATAGTCATACCTCCTGAGATTCATGAAGGTGGGTGGTTGGTAGGCGCTCCGGAGTCGTTTGCTCCTTCTTTCTCATCAAACAGCTATCATCCTAAATCTCTTCTTCTTTTTTATGTTTGTTGCTCTCTTGTAACACCTTTTGCATAAGAACCCATTCTAAATAAATCCTCACAAGGGCGTGATTTGAGCAAAGGGCAATAAACTTTTCCAATTGTACTAATTGTTCCTCTTACTAGTCTTACACGGTTAAAGCTTGCAATTAGTAAATATAACAATTGGCCCCTTCACTGTTCCTTCTTTCCCTTCACTTACACTGTGTTGCCAATGGCTCCGTTTCAGTTTCAATATGCTATCAATCACCACAACAATGCTGCATTTATGGAAATTCCCAAAGATGCCAGAAGCAACTGGTTCTCACTGGGACCCCAAACAACAAATAGCCCACACATGCAGACACCCATATTTTAGTCAAACTTGCTCTTATTATGGCTACCTGGCCAAGACAATCACCTGCAAAAATGATCGGGGGAGGGGGTCATGTACAGTGGTACCTGGTGTTGGTAGTGTAGTGGTTGGGCTACCGGACTCATGATCGACAGATTGTGGTTTTGCTGGTTTGTTGAGCCTCAGCTCGGTCCAAAGTGTCCTTGGGAAAGGCACTTCACACAAATTTCCCCTTTGGCTCGGTCCTTTCGAATGGACTTTAAACTTGAAAGTCCAGCAAAAGTTGGAGAATCTATGTTCGATACGTAAGGAGATATTTCACAATAAGTTGCGCAATGCATTTTTTATCGCACTATAGTGTGCGTGCATCCCCCCTCTCTCGTTTATCTACTCATAACATCTGCTCAGGTCCAAAATTACACCACACTGAGCATAGGAGCTCTGTTCATACCCTCCAGCAAGGGTCTCCCAGATGGGTAGAAAAGTTTTGGCCACAATACACAACATTACTGCCATGCGATCAAGCATTGGCTCATTAAAGAGGACTAGCCCTGGTGGAATCTCCGGCTGCTGACACCGCCTATTTTCTCAGTTACCAAAATAACATTAACAACAAGTGTAATAAGCCATCCTGCAGCCAGGATTCGTGTGTGTGTAGTGGGGGTTGCATGCAGAACACCCCCTTTGGAAAATTCAATCGGCAGCACCATTCACCTAACAGCAATCAAAGCTCGCTTCCCTTGGGGTTAGGTGGACATCACTGTTTTTATTTTTATGATGATGCTATCTGAGGAGACAATCTGAGATTACCATTTTTTTTCCTCAACAACTGATGGCTGTCTAGAACAAGTGCTACTGTGGTTTGTTTTTAAGAATAAGGAGAGAACCTCCATCTTTCCTCTGGAATGAGCATCACCTATGTGAAAATTTCAACAAATAAATACTGGGAAGCTAACCAGAAGGAGTCGAGTCCTGCTCCATGAAACCCCCATAAGGCCCCATCCATTTAAGAGCCAGCTGGTTTAGTCTTCCACCACCTGGGTTCTGATGTCAAGCAAGACCACTACCGATACATTCATTTCCACAACAAAACAGAATAAGTCCACTCATTTGTATTCTCTTCCTTCTCTTTAGATAATTTTAATTATAAAAACAGGGTCAGCATTCCAAAAATAAAATAATAGAAAACCTTGCCTACAACATTTAAAAAAGAACAGGGGCATAATGCAAATATTCTGAGCCTGGTGTAGCCAGATCACAAGCATGTTTCTGTATCTTGATACAACTGTACCTCTATTCCACTTTTGAAATAAACCAATGCCCAGTAAAAAGAATTTTTTCTCGAAAGATTCGTGCCAAGCTAGAACTTTCAACCAGTGCCGCCAGCACAGACCCTACACTTTGAATGGAAAGGCAACAAAGGAAAGATTTGCACACACAAACCCCCCCCCCCCCCCCAAAAAAAAGCAACTCCAAAATACACAAAAAACCCAATCTGAAACAAACATGACAGCCAATCAATGTCCACTAATTTTCAATTTCCTGTGACACCAGACAAATACTTAAATATGGTTTTGACTTATCATTTACATTGTATAATAGCAGATTCAGTATAATAATAGCACAATTCAGATTTACACTACTTTATTTGTTGAGGCTTTTGCAAGCTGCTGCCACAATAAGTAAAAAAAAGTAAACCTCTGCTAAAAAGTAGGCAATCAGTTAAAATAAAATTACGTTTGGAAGCTTGACAGTCTTCTCACTCCTTTTTCTTTAAGTTGTTCTATCCCAAGGAGTCATCATAGTATAGAAGGTTTTTTCTTTTACCGAAAATATCTACAACATGACACACAATTAAAATTTCAAATAATGCTAGGATTTATCATCAGTCTTTTTTCTACAGAGGGGTGTATTGAATCCTTCTTTGTTTCTTGCAATTTCTATTGCCAGGAACTGGGCTCTGACACCTGGAAGGAAAAAAAAAGACATCATGTTTTACAACTTCAGAATCATTTTTTTTTAAAATCCACAAACAGCAAATGAGTGGTGGCACAGAAAAACCAAAGCCTTGTCAAAAACTTCGCTTCCTGAATATAATGTAGATTTCATTTTTTCAAAAATATGTTACGGTTTTTTAAAGTGTT